TTTCAAAGTACTGTGGTTACAAAACCATTCACTCTCCCGCAAGACAATTTGACTAACTCTTCCAGTGTGTTTTGTTAAATGGACACCATAAACTTGAAAATTCCTCTTGTGTTTGAGAATTTGTATACTTTGTGTAATAGCACCCAAGTTTCCTATAACTGAAATTGTTGTTTGTGGCTAACGTACATTAAAGATCCTGCAGAGTCCATAGAAAAACTGAATTGCCTATGGTAACATTATTGGTATAGATCTTTCTTCCATGTCGTTTGTTATAAATTTTTTGTTACAAGAATAATTCTGCAGACACTTTATAGGGATAACACTGACTGACTTGAATCATCTTGTTACTAAATGTATGCGTGTAGTTGAGATGAGCCAGGAGTCCAATGCTAATAGCTTGTGGTAGCAGGTTTGGGTTTTCCTTCTGAATTTGTTTGCAATGTCTGAATTTTAAAATGAGACAATGTCTATACAAGGGCCAATCTAAAGCTTTCTGTGGAACTTGTTTCTTTTCAGTTCACAAGCTGAAACCATCAATCAGGAGCCCCAAATTCAGTCTTCATCAGAAGAAAGAGAACTGCTTATTACAATAAGTTCGCAGTCCTTGGAACCACCAAGAACAGGTAATGTTCTTACCATTGTGGGTCCCCTGGCACAGCTTTACGAGCACTTGTGGTGCTCTGGCGAGGTGCCAGAGGACTGGAAGAGGGCCAATGTGGTCCCCATTTTCAAAAAGGGAAAAGGGAGGGCCCAGGAAACTATAGGCCTGTTAGTCTTACCTTGGTCCTGGGGAAGCTCTTCAAGAAAATTATCCAGGAGCACATCTGCGAGGGACCAGCAGGGGAGTATATGCTTAGGGGCAACCAACATGGGTTCATCAGAGGCAGGTCCTGTCAGACCAACCTGGTGGCATTCTATGATCAGGTCACTAAATCCTTGGACACGGGCATCGCGGAGGATGTAGTCTTTTTGGACTTGAGAAAAGCCTTCAACACTGTCTCTCACCCCATTCTCATTAAAAAATTAGGCAACTGTGGTGTCGATCCCTACATGGTCAGATGGGTTGCCAATTGGCTGGAGGGCCGAACCCAGAGAGTGATGGTGGACAGGTCTTTTTTGACCTGGAAGGATGTGGGCAGTGGGGTTCCGCAGGGGTTGGTCCTCGGGCCTGCGCTGTTCAACATCTTCATCAGTGACTTGGACGAGGGGGTGAAAAGCACCTTGTTCAAATTCGCAGATGACAGTAAGATGTGGGGGGAGGTGGGCATGCTAGAAGGGAGGGACAAGCTGCCATTAGATCTGGACAGGTTACAGAGGTGGGCAGATGAGAATAGGATGGGTTTCAACACTGACAAGTCCAAGGTATTGCACCTGGGGAGGAAGAACCAGCAGCATACCTACAGGCTGGGGAACTCCCCTCTCACCAGTACAGAGGCAGAAAAGGATCTTGGAGTTATTATTGAGTCAAAGATGAACATGGGCCACCAATGTGGGGATGTGGTCAGAAAGGCTAACAGCACCTTGTCATGCATCCACAGATGCATCATGAGCAGGTCCAAGGAGGTGATCCTCCCCCTCTATGTGACACTGGTCAGGCCGCAGTTGGAGTACTGCATCCAGTTCTGAGTGCCACACTTCAGGAGGGGTGTGGACAACATGGAGAGGGTCCAGAGGAGGGCCACTTGCATGATCAGGGGGCAGCAGGGCAGGTCCTGTGAGGATAGGCTATGGGATCTGAACCTGTTCAGCCTCCAGAAGAGGAGTCTGAGAGTGGATCTGGTGGCTGTCTAAACTAGCCAACGGAGACCAGCAGACAGTGGGAGAGTCCCTGTTCCCCCGAGCACTACCGGGAGTAACAAGGAACAGTGGCCGTAAGCTGACAGAGCAGATTCAGGCTGGATATCAGGAGGCACTACTTCACTGTCAGGGCGGCTAGGACCTGGAACCAACTTCCAAAGGAAATGGTGCTCGCTCCTACCCTGGGGGTCTTTAAAAGGAGGCTAGATAGACACCTTGCCGGGGTCGTCTAACCCCAGCATTCTTTCCTGGCCATGGCAGGGGGTTGGACTTGATGATTTGCTCAGGTCTCTTCCGACCCTACCAACTATGAAACTATGAATTTATGTATATTTGGTATGTCAACTGAGCTGAAGCAGTAGAAATTGAGAACAAGTATTTGAACTGTCAAGGTTAAATATGCCACGTGTCCTATCGCTAAACACTTCTGACAGATTAAAGTTAGGCTAGTACAGTAATGCAAACTTGCCTCAATTTGTAGGCAGAGTATAGATGTCAAAGAAAGTCTGTTTAGAAGAGACACAGTCAGTATTTTTTTATTGAATTAGATATCTAAGTAAATTGACGCCCTTGTAAAGTTTCTTTTGAATGGAGTTTGCTTTTACATGCATTGCATGCTGCTTCATATTCTCCAGTTTTGCTGTAAACTACATCAAGTGTGCTACGGGACCTGTAACCCTAAAACACCTTTCGAGTTGACTGCAGGGTGCTTGGTGTATTCAGGTTAGAAAAAATAATTGGGTGACAAAAACTTTTTTTTTTTAAAGTGCTGAGAAACATCAGAAACTATGATAGAGGGTTAAAAGACTTCTGGATTGTGCTGAATTCTCACTGTTCAGTTTTGTCTTTTATTATGTGTAAACCTGAGCAAATATGAGCATTGTATGGGAATATCAAATATCCCAATAATAGTTGCTTCCTTTTTCTGTATGTCCACCAGGATAAAGGTGTTAGTTTGCCAATGCCTCGCCAGTTTATTTTCTAAATCCCCAGTATTCATACAGCAAATTTAATGACAGACTCATAAAATGCACACATTTTTATTTAAAAAGGAAAAATTAACGGGCAATTTTTTTCCAGCTGCAATCGGTATACTTGACAGTGAGGAAGTCATTAGAACTCACTCAGAAAATCAGCTTGGAAAGGAAAAAGGTACAGACTTGCATGAAAACCAGAACCCAGAGGAGGCTGCAGTAGCAGAAAATGTTCTCTTGCAAGAAGAAAGAACAACTTCTAACAGGGTTCCTGAGACTCAAATTCATGTAAGAATTTATTTTTCCCTTTTTCAAACAGTTATTGCAACATTTAAATCTAAGACCCTTACGTAACTGGTATCAAAGTGTTTCGGTGTAAGCTCTAAATCTTTTTAGTTGCCTAACATATGCCCTTTACTGGGGGAAGAGAACTTGTAGTCCTGTTCATTTCCATAGTGCCGAGTACATTGGAAACCTAATCACAGTAATGGCTATATGTTCTTGGGAGTTTTTTTCCTGACATCTTTTTTTCCTAACATAGGTGCTTAGCTGAGTAGTCCTCAATCAAATGTCTGATTCTTGCCTTGAGCATTAAAAAGAGAGGGCAGTACAGCTTCATTTTTGAAGTTCGTTGGAAAGCATTTTCTGGTGTCTAAATGACTTGGGAGCCCAAATCCATTTTAAAAATAAGCTATGCATTTGAGGGCATAGCTCACAAAGGAACTTGGATGTAGTGATATTCAGGATTTCCACACCCAAAAAATTGGCATCCAGCCATAGGAATGTGCTAGAAATGCAGGATGAAAGTTTCCATTGCATTCAAAAAATAATAAAGCACCGTTTTTGTTTTTGCCAGCTGTGGGGATGGGAGTGCAGGTTAGAGGAAGTCATTGGAGTCTTGCTGCTGGTAATTGTTTGAGGAGAATACTTTGTTGGGAAAGAAATCGAGCACATGTGCTGAGGGAAGCAGAGGTTGGTCCTATGGCTGCTTGCAAAGGAGAATGAGGAGAGGACAATGCATTGCCTCACTTCTGTCATCACCACCACCTCCACTTAGCATATCTCATGGTCTTCTCAGTATCTTCTTTAAAGTTGGGGCAAGAAGTCTGTTACAAACAGAAGAGGAGTCTTAAAAATAGGTAGAAGGCTGTACGTTGGCAATATTCCTTGAGTTCAGTTAAGTCTCCTCATTATTCTTAATGAATGGTAGGCTTCTGCCATGAGGATCCGTAGCAGTCTTTGTCAAGTGAATGCTAATGTGTGTTGTCATGTGAGGAGTTGCCACGCAGCTGACCAGTACTGTCAGTATTTGGGAGAAAGAGTTAACAAGTCTTCCCATTAATTCTTTTTAGAGAATAGTTCCCTTCCAAGTGAGGCCCCCCCCTCTGGATGTTGCTGTAATTGTTAAGATGCAAGAATTCAAATCTAAAAAAAGGAAAGGCAGAAATTGTCCTGTATGGGGAACTGCAAAGACTTGGGAGACAGTGAATTGGCCCAAGGAGTTGCCCAGCACAATCTTTGGCTATAAAAATTGCTGTAAAGCCAGTGATTGGGGTTAGCATAAACTCTGCCCCATTTTTCTGTCTGATCAAACCCGTAATATTTGATCATCATGGGATAATTGGTATTTGTAGTCATTTCATTACTAACCTCTTCATGTTTTTAGGTTTTATGGAGATGTTCTGAGAACCCAAAGATTTCCTATTATCTCTTCCTTTTTTGCCGTCTGCTCTTCTGTTCATTTCTCCTCCATTTATCATGGGTTAAAATGTTGATGGTGTCATCAGATAATGTGCATCCTTCCATTATTGAAGACTGTCTAGTGAAGGCACCAAGCCAAAAAATTGGATGAGATCCCAACTTTACCTTCAGTCTGAACATAATCTAATTTTAGTCCAATTTTAGATGTACAACCAGCTAGTAAGTTTGGAACAAAAACCGTCCTGTTCCCCTCAAAAAATCTTTGGCATGTCTGAATATGCTTTTTTTGGTTTAAGCTTACGTTTAGTTATTTGGTCTCAGAATAGATTGGAGGCAGTTCCAGGATTTCTGTATGCTTGTTAAGCAACACAGCTGACTCTCTTTGCTGGTAAAATCCATTATAATTTTATATAGGCACATCTAAAACTGCTATATTACTTGTTTTAATATAGAAATATTTCATTTTTAGTTCCTTAAATATGCAAACTTTATCCACACTAGTGAATCTCCTGTTTCTTTTATGCTGAATAGATTAAAAAAAAAAGGTTTATTGACCAGGATCTGCTGAAAGTTAGTATTTGCAGAAATTGAGTATGAATATTAAATCTTGTTTATTTTTATTTCAGATTGTTGAAGATGGCACATTTCATGCACAAGCTGCAGAAGAAGCAGCCAAAACATCTCCAGGCAATGAGCTACATCCATCTGACAGTCTTAAACTTCAGTATAATTATGGTTTTGTCGAAGATCAGTTCCCTTGTGATTTACTGGATAGTAAAGACACTGATGAAAATGATGCAGCTGAAGGGGATGCAGAGCTTTTATCTCAGGACAATTTTACTTTAGTTTTAGAAGGAGAAGAAGGGGAAGCTGAAACAGAAGAACCTGCAGGATTAGATTCTATTTCTGAACCAGTTAGCAGAAAAATAGAGGACAAATGTATCAGTAGCCTAGGAAGTACTGACAGCCAAGAGTGTGTTACGAATTCAGTGTCCACTGTAACTAGTGACCAAGAGTCTCAAAATCTGGCAGAAGCACTCCCATATGTGCCTGAGCCTATTAAAGTTGCTATTGCTGAAAATTTATTAGATATAATCAAAGACACAAGAAGTAAAGAATTCACTTCTGAAGTTGTAGAACAGTCGATTCATGAAAGTATACCATTAATAGGTAAGAAGGTAACTGGTTTCCAGAAGTCAAAGACTTCACTAACATCTGTTCAGGAAACAAGTGAAGATACTTCCACTGTTCCACAAGTAGAGTATGTTGTCACCCCTAGAACACGCAAAAGGGGACAAATGAGCAAAAGTCTACGTATCCCTTCAACTGATGAACAGTTGTCAAGGATAGGTAAGCCAGATCTGTTGGGACTATCTATCCTCAGGAGAAGTGCTAGACGAACTTCAGAAACTTCTGAAAGTTCTCGGCTTCAGTTGAAGGAAAAAGTTCAAGATGAACGAATAGCTTCAGTCCCTGTTACACCTAGGAGAGGCTCCAGGAAAACTAAGTTGACTACTTTAGAAAAATCAGCAAATGTTCATTCTAGCCATTCAGAGGAGCTACAAATAGCTGCTACTCCAAGGAGAGGGTTAAGGAGAACAAAGCAAGCCACGCAAGAACTTAATGAGCAGGTTGATGAGGAAACATCATTTGCTGAAGATGCAATAAAGTTGTCTGCTACTTCTAGAAGGACTGGCAGAGGTTCAAAAAGTTCAGTAGGGTATAGAGGAAGAAGGCAACTCATCACTGATCACAAGTTAAAAATGGTAGTCAGTCCCAGTAGAAGCACAAGAAAATTAAAGAGAGTTAGTTTACAACTTACTGAAAATATCATTAGTGATCAGGACCCCAGTGAGCAGCAGTTGCCTGTGCCAGCTAGAAGAGGAAGGAGAAGAAAAATGGGTACACCACAGATTTTAGAAAAATCTGAGCGTGACTCATCTATTTCATCTCTTCATCAATTAGAACTTAAACTCCCTGTCACTCCTAGAAGAAATTTTAGGCGCGGGGCCCTAAATTTCCCAGCAAGTTCAGAATCTCTACTTTCTCAGGAAGACGTGCATTCAGGAGAGAGCAAGAAAATGCTTGACACTCCAAGAAGATCAACAAGAGTTACAACTATTAAAGCAGAAAAAACAGATACTGGAGAACCCACTCTAGAGAAAACACCTGTTCAGCCAGTATTGGCTACCAACAAGACTCCAAGAAAGCGTGGACGTCCAAGCAAAAAGAGCCAACTGCCATCAGTGTTGCAGGAAATTGCAGAAGAAGTAGTCTTGCATCAAGGAACTGAGGGAAGTCCTTTGCCAACTGCAGACGCAACTAAATCAAGGTTTGATGAAACAGTGAGGACTCTAGCTGACAGTGATAGTCGTGTCACAAGGACCAGATCCAGTAAAATCAGCATGCATCAGAACCTTTCCATAGAGGAAAACAAATCCTTCTTTTTCTCTCCTCCTCTCACAAAGCTGACAAAGAAATCACAAGGTACATCAAATATTTTCTGATACAGAGTAAGAGTGCTTGCAGCTTGCAGTTTTTGCCTATCAGCAACCCAGTACATATTGTGAGCATAGCTTCTATGTCCTGTAAAGAGCTTAATCGTATAAAAATTAAGATTTGGAGTTAAATAAGGAATTCATTTTTTGATTTGTGTCTAGATGGTATGTGGCTAAATTGTTATAAACCCCTTTACAGCAGTGATTCTCAACTAGGGTGCCTTGAGGTCCTTCCAAGGGTGCTGTGGGGTAGCATTCAGTTCTAGCATTGACAGGTGTACAGCATAATTCGCAAGATAAACCCAAAGATTTCAAAGAGAAATCCCTAATACTCGCAATATTCTGACCTGTCATGGTCTTTCTGAGAGCTTTGTAACAGAAGAATTGCTCCATTGTTTTTTAGGAGCCAAAATACAAATGCAAACTAAGCTGGTACTCTTCTAGGGGTGCTTCAAGTTAAAAAAAAAAAAAAAAAAAAAAAATTGAGAACCACTGCCTTAAGAGTGAGAACTTGAAATGTCCTAAGCCCAGTAGAACAAAATTTAGTCTGAGCTTTTGCAATGACTTTAGTTTTTACTCTCCTCATGTACATATAAATGACTGATCTTGGTGCCAAATGCCTTTTTATTTTCACTGGGTGAAGTAACATGGTGCTGTTCCTAAATTCTGTCTATAGCGTGAGTTCACCCTACCTGTGACTGCACCATGAAGTGTGCCTTGCAGTAGATCATGTTGCTCCTCATTGTGATTGTCCTGCATCTACTGTATGCCCTTTGATTACCAGTGAAGTAGTTGCATATCAGCTTCATTACCAATAAAAACACTAAAAATTTCACAGTGACAGTTCACATCCACCAGAGCTAATGATTCAGATTATCCACATACTGGAGCAGAAATTGCTGCATTGGTTTGTTTTGGTTCACAAGTTGCAACAAGACTGCTGATAAGTGCATCTTAGAATCTAAAGTACCAATATGCTGACCTAGTGTGAACCTTGACTCTTAGTTTTCTGTTTAAAGACGGTTTTGTACTGGGTAGTAATCTCATTCTTGCTGTTCTGTATTTCTGACTTCCCCATCTTTGCATGTGCATTAATTGTATTTTTGTCATTCTAGCTGAAAAAACAGAGGATCCTGTACAGCTCAAGGATTTAGATCCAGAATTGTCTTCCCAGTTTGTCTTCTCACCCCCTCACTTGAGGTCCAGGAGAAAACATGTACCTGCTATTTCAAGGATTGTGAAAGAGCTGGTAAGTAGTGTTTGTAAATTACTCCTTTTCTTGAGTTTTTCTCTGTTAAATCATATTTTTAGTCAGTTACAGTACCCTATTCAGTAAAAACATATAATGGTTAATTAAAAATAAATAAATAAAATGAGTTAATTTCCTTGCTTCCTAAAGTTAAATTAGCATTGTATTTAAAAATCATCAAATAAGCTAAGCTATGTATTCTTAAGCTAAGAATAAATTATGTCTTGGCATTATCTTTTGTTCTGGGCTGTGTCAAAATAATTTGATAAACTCCTTATTTCAAAACTAGAGTTTGTCATTGGTACTATATATCTTTGTTACATAGGAGAAAACAACTAGTAATGCTTTAAGGAATGCTAGCTTTACTTTTACTGTCATTCTTATTGAATAAGTCTTTCAGTGTGGAACAGATTTGAAAGCTGAAAACCAACAACTGGTCAGTATTTTTTAGGGGCAGGAGGGATTTAAACAGTATAAATCACCTGTATACTTTCTTTTGCCTCGCTGTAGGATCTTCCCACTAAAGAGGAGGAAGATACCAAATCCACAGAATCTGTGGGAAAGCAGAAGGTGAAGAGAGGTAGAATTGCAAAAGCAAAAACGAAGCAAGCAAGCAAGTATGAAGTGTTTCTTATGTTTAAGAGTATTTGAACTTATTCATGATAGTGGCTAAAATCTCAGGTGTAGAGAGAACCTTGAGGAGTCTGTAGTTCATTCCATCCAAGGAAGTGGGGAGGACTGAACAGAGAGAAGTTCTTGTTCTGGGACATGTTCTCTGTGCTTGTGTTGGAAAACTGCATCAAAAAGGAATTTGCTACTTTTCTTATAGTCCTGCCTATGCTCCAGCTGCCCTGGGCAGGCACTCTAGGCTTTCCAGGGCCCAATCCTGCACACTCTGGGAATTTCCCTACCGGAAACTGAGGGATCCCCCATTTACAGAGTTGTTCAAGTGTGGTCCTACAGAATTGGGCTCCTGAATCCCTAGGAGTGGCAGGGGCCTGATCCTGTGGTACAGTGCCTGTTTTGACCTGTGAAGCAGATCAGTTGTCGGGACACATCCAGGCAGAGCCAGTCTGCTTCATTTGGTGACATCTGTTTGTGGCCTAACTTACTGTTTTTCTTTAAACTAGTTGCCTTCAAGGCTGAATCACAGTAATGCGTTTCCATTGAATAGTACTGTGTTGTCAAAGTCACATTATCTGTGTTTAATAATAAAAGCAGAAATTTAGTCTTTGGCCAACTAAACACATCCAGGCCCATATTTAAAACTTGTTAGGCTTTTTTGTCAGAGGAAAATTGGGTATTTAGTCTTGCCCAGTCTAATTTTAACTAGATTTAGTGTCATGAAGAAGAAAAAGAATCTCTTTCTTTTGGAAAAGCTGAATTATGGTTCATGTTTTTCTTGAAGCTGGTATACAGAGAATATCAGTTTTGTACTGCCACCAGCAGGACTTCAGTTTTACAAATTCAGGAAATAATTCTGGTTCATGCCATTACATGAATGTATACGTTTCCGATTTTAAGTCTCTGCTTATAAAGCTACTGACAGATGTTCAGTTAAAGGTGCAGTGAGATCCGATCCATGATCCCAACAGTCGTGTGTCCGGCCATGGCACATAAGCATGGTAGGAAGTGCAGTTGTGGGATTAAGAATCAGATCTGATTGGTGCTAGCCATGTGTTCAATTTAAGGTGCGAGGGAAACCATCCACAAAGTTATTGCATATGACTTTGTGTAATGACTCTGTATCTTATTCCCTGTTTTGTTGCTCCATTTAGTGCACAAATGTGTGGCCAGGTTATTGCTTAAGAGGTGATCACATCTTAAGTGTAACATCTGCCAGGGCTCTAAGTCACGAATTTTTCATTGGTTGGTCACATTTTTATGTTCATTTTTATAAGCCCAATGACAACAATGGACTTGAGCATGAAAACAGCCCTTAGTTAAGTAAGATAGTTGCCCTTCTAAACTGTAAAGTCATACATTTAAAGATAGTTTAGTCCCATGCTCTACCAGGAGCTATGAGTTTGCCTTTATATTTTCAAAAAATATTTCAAGAGGTCATCTCCTGGTACTTCAGGGACAACAGGGAGTTACAACTGTAACTGTTAATGTTTTACAAATGCTGGAAAATAGGACCATATGTCAGGACACTAAAATGTATTATTTTAATGCAAGATCTTTGTGTGGAGAGGCCCACAAGTAGTTGAGGCAGTGTCTAGGTATAAGGAAAAATAGTCCTATTTATTTTAATTTAGCTATTTGGCTTTTGTTCTTCTGTGCCAAGAAGCATGAATCATGCTCGTGGGTGGGTTGGTTGGTTGGTTTATAAACTTTTTTCCTGTATAAAAAGGGTACTTTAAAATGTAATCCTTTTGGAACCTGCTTTTTTGTAGAGCCACAGGGAAAGAAAGCTCTTGGTCACCTCCACCAGTAGAGATTAAATTCATTTCTCCTTTTGGAAGTTCAGTGGATGGGACAAGAGGCAAACAGAAAGAATCCGCAGAAGCAACAGAAAAGACTCTTCGAAAGAACAAAAAGAGACTGTCTAATTTTCCAAAGCCAGTTGTGCGCCGGAAGATGCTATAACTGTTTTTTTAAGTTTGTAATGTACACCACTGTTTGTAAAGTCATCAGAATTGTGTGGATTATTAAATAAGAACAAAATCATCTAATTTGGAAGAGAATAATTTATATAAATTATTGTAAAATTTCATAAACAAATGGTCTTCAATAAGTAACTCCATATGGAGTGTGATTTCTTCAGTCAATGCAGTTTTTTCTATTTTATATTAAGACTTCATACATTTATATAATATGTAAATACAGCTTATTTTAGGAATGTTAAATAAAACTGTATACTTCACAATATACATATTGTCTATTAGCTTTTTGAGGGAATAAGCGTTGAGTGGCCTGAATTGCTTGAGGGCATCTTAATGTTGGCTTGCTGCAGTTGGTACCCCTCAAATCTGAGGCCAAAACTTGTTTTTTAATGGTTTGTTTTTACTTAATGAATAAAAAATAAAAATCTGACAACTGTTTTAAAATTTCTAGAAAAATGTTTGACCCGTTGGCACCAATAGTTGGGACTGCAACACAACTGCTAATTCCATATATACATGACTAAGATGTACTGTATTGAAGTCGGAATGTAAACAATTGTATTGAAGCTGTGCAATATTTTTTGTATTTGTCTTAAATTTTGGAAAAGCTGCTCTTGAGTTTATAAAACTAGATCACACCTCAGCTGTTTCACTTTTTTCATGCCTAACTATATGTACTTGAATGCTTATAGTAATGTATTATATATAGTCCATCAGATTTAAAGGGGCTTTGTTCACATTGAATTTTGTCCCAAAATTGGAAAACATATTTCCATAACATTGAGAGAAATTCTACCACAACTTAAGTAATGAACAGTTGTCTGCAAGCATGTATTATCCTGTAACATTAGAAAACCCATGCACTGCAGCACAGGAAAACCTTTAGGTGAATTGGATTTCCTTTACTTCAAGCAGAGAGAAATGCATAAAGTGTCCAAAGATCATAGCTACGAACTAGATTTTTTTTTTCTCACCTACTTTATTGAAAACTAGGTTGTGAAAAATTTCCTTATACAGTCTAAAATAACACGAATTATAAGGGAAGAAGGTATTCCTTGTTAAGGCAGATATTGGAAGTGTTATTTTGGTCTCCTAAGGCATCAGCCTTAATTCTTTTGGACATTTTTTATGACATTTTATGTATGTTAATTTGTATCTAGATGCAACTTTGAAGACTTTACAATAGAGTGGGACTTGAAATTAAACTTTTTAATTAGTGAAAGCTACTGCAGTTACATGAAGAAATAATTTATCAGGTAACTTATACCTTATACATAATGAGTGAACATATTAATAATTAAGATTTGAAAAAGAAAATGTCATTGGCAGTGTGTTTGATTTCTCAAAACAGGGTAGTCTAGAGAAGCAGTTGTGTGCACTTTAAATAATTGTCTCCTTTGGAATATCCTTGGAAGAGTTTCTGGAAGTAGTAAAAAAAACAAAAAACAAAAAAACATGCCAAGCATTGACAGTGTGAAAGTGGCAGTTCGGGTGAGACCTTTCAGTCAGGTTAGTAGTTATTATTCTGAATGTTACTATACTTAGATTTATGTTTTAGTAGGCTTCTTTTAAGGGTAAACTCTGAAGCTCTAACGTGAGAAGATTATAGGGCTGTTACCAAAATAAAATGTAGTCGTGCAGTGAATAACTTAAAGGGGCGAACTTTAAAATGGCAAAAGAAAACCGATTTAAGGAAACCCTGAGTTGTACATCCTTAAAATGTTGTTTTAAGTGTTTAAATACCTCTTAAAATAGAACTGAATTAATAAAATTGTGGTGAAGGTTGCTTCACAGGATTTTAATACATTTCAGTTATTTACATCGCCTTTTTTCACTATGAAGCTGATTTCACTCTAAGCAAAGCCAACAAAGATGTGTTAATATACAACAATAAATTATTTGGATGAGTATTAAATGGTTTAGATTTTTTTTAAAAACCAGCTCCAGTAAAGTGTACTGGCTTGGCAGCATATAACGTTACTTCCGTGCGGTGGTGATTTGTAGTAAAATAACAGGCAAATTTAGTCATGGCCATGCCTTTGCTCATTTCACAAAAGCTTTAAGCATAAAGTAATTTTGAATTAAGGAGAATTTATCTCTCTGGCAAGAAAAATGTATTTTTTTACCTTAAATGGTTGAAACTTTCAAGCACATTGGTTGAGACTGTACAGTACAAGTGGAATAGAAGCACATATCAAGGAGGGATCTGACAGAACAGAAGAGAGATCAGAGAAGGTATATAGAACATAGAAGAATGATTGTCATGGAGGCCAGTGACTAGGGAACCTGCGAACAGGGGCTGCAGACAGGATTAGCAGTTTGCAGGCAGTTTGCTGGGGGCAAGAGCAGGAAGGGGGGAGAGAATCCAGGCACCAGGTATCAGATCCTGCCCAGGAAAGGTAAGTGATCCAGAGTTGCCTATGCTTGTGGCTTGCTGAGTGTTTGTCTGCTGGACTGTGTGTGTGTTTGGGGTGTGTGCTCTGAGAAGCAGGGGGTGTTGCTGGCTAAATGAGTGCTGATTATTGAGGGGATCTAATAGCAGCCTTCAGCTATCTGAAGGGTGATTCCAAACAGGATGGAGCTGGACTGTTCTCAGTGGTGGTAGATGACAGAACAAGAAGCAATGGTTTCAAGTAGCAGCAAGGGAAGTTTAGGTTAGATCTTAGGAAGAATTTTCTCACTATGAGGGTAGTAAAACATGGGAACAGGTTACCCAGAGAGGGGGTGGACTCTGATCTTGGAGGTTTTTAAGACCTGGCTAGACAAACCTTTGGCTGGGATGATCTAGTTGGGGCTGCTTTGAGCAGGGGGTTGGACTAGACGACCTCCTGAGGTCCCTGCCACCCTTGACTTTCTGTTATTCTGTGAGTCTCAGAAGAAAATGGAGAGTGAATTTATAGAAAAAAGCAGGCACTGGAAAGTTGTGTTGGGTCTTAAATCTTCAAAAAATAATTGAAAATGAGATGAGCTAGTTGGTATGAAACAGATACCCAACATGCAGAAATAATAAGAAGGTGAAGATAACTTATTTGGTGATATTTTAAGTTGACTAGATTGAGATGAGCAGTACCAAAGGATAGAAGATCCTTGTAATAGAGTTGAGGCATGACAGCAGCACTGAGTAGGATTTTTTAGTAGGGTTACATATTTGACTAGTTAAAATACTTGGTCAATTGACTGGTCAAATATTTTAAGCATTAATTTATTAAAACGGTGAAGAGAGAGACTTATGCTACTACAAAAAAAGTTACCTGCTATTGTGAAACAATGAAAATCAATCTAAAAATTGTGATGATTTTTTTTTATAACTATCAACATGAGACGCAAGTGTGAATGGTAATATTAGAGTGATGCAAGTATGATGATCCAGGAAATATGCAAAAGGCAAGGATTTTTATGGGTGACACCTCTTATTGGACCCATTATATTGTTGGGATAGACTTAGACAAGATTTTGAATGCAATGCTGCTGCCTTCAGGTGATCTGGGTAAAACCAGGTGACCTGAAGAAGGCATTGCACTGAAAAGCTTGTCTAAGTGTATCCCAACTACACAGTGGGTTAGATAAAAGCTATCACCTACACAGCCTTGGCTTTTGTAAATGTGAATGCTATTCAAGACTGAACAAGTTCTTTGTCTCTTCACAAAACTGCGAATTCAGCCTGAACAGTTACAAAATAATAACAAAACCCCAGAAATAAAATGCACATAGCTACCAAAGATAAAAATCGGTTTTTAAAAGGCAGTTATGCTGAGTAGGCAGCTGCCCACTCCAAGTATTTTGCTGTTTGCAGTTGGAGGTGCCTGCAGACACAGCAGTAGAAGCTTTTCTAGGATGGTAACTTTGGTTCTTCCCTCAGCCACTGAGTAACTCCTGCAGCCCCACCTGGCCTAATGGAGGACAAGGGAAAGGAGGTTTTGTGGAATATTTGACCACTTTTAATGGTTAAGCAAGCAGTCAGTTGGCTGGGTTGTTTTTAGCACTGAGAATGAGTTAAAAAGACTGAATCTTGGTTTTTACATGGGTCTGGAAGTGTGCTGGATACTGTTTTTGCTTTAGGGGCAGGATCGTGGGCTCCATAAATCTTTGACCTTTGTCAGTATGGCTGCTCTTATGAAAGAATTAAGTACAGTGTGAGGTGCTATTACAAGCATATTGAGGATGAGCATAGTGGTGCCTATAATACTACAGTAGGAAGAGGTCAAAAGGCTTTGAAACCAAGAGTTATACTCAAGGAATCCTGTCTTTCTCTGTTTAAAAATTGCAAATTCTGTGATTAAAACCCCCAAAATCTGAGATTTAAAATATGGTAAAATAAATTCTAAATACCTATACATTTTGATGTTTGATTTATGGGTTTATCATGGAAAATCAGAGTACTGTCTGCCCCCTTCACTCACCATGATGCAGGTCCAGCTGTTGCTGTCTCCCATCACTGCTTTGTGGCTCTGAGCAGCCCTGCTGTGCTGATGCCCTGTTGGTGCTATTGCCTCTCACTCCCAAGCCACAGCTCCCCAGCCCTGCTGGTGCCTCTTATCCCCACCCACAGCCCGCTGGGCCCTGCTAGTGCCCCTCACTCCCAACCAAAGGCCCCCACCCCCTGGCTCTACCAGAGGGGAGCCCGGCTGTCAGGGCTATGGGGCCACAAGCCCCTGCAGCAGCGCCAGAGCCCCAGATGCCACCCATGAGAGGTGGTAGCTGCTGTAGCCTGAGTGGAGCATGGAGCCCAGCTCCCACTCCCCCACGAGTGGCACGAGCAGAGCATGTGGGGGCAGGGAGGTATGGATGTAGGCTGCCTGCTGCAGGCTCTGGCTTCCTACCCTGCTACCCTTCTCCACCGGGCTTCCGCAGGCCGGTGGCCATGGTGAGGTGCCCCCTGCCTGTCCAGCAGCAGTGAGGGGCACAACTCAATGCCACCACCCCCACTGCTGCCAGGAGGGCAGTGGGGTGCCTTGCAATGGTGGTGCAGGGCTTCTACCAGCAGCAGCATAAGCCTCCCTGTCTCACTCTGCCCTGCCACACTGGGTCTAGCCTGCTGTGCCCAGCAGGCTACTGGGCACTGGGCTACTGGCTCCTGGGGGAGGGCAGTAGGGTGGGGAGCCTGAGCCCACAGCAGGTAGACTGCCCCCACCCCACACAAATTGGGGGCACATGCCCCGCCAGGAGTGCACACAGCAGTGGGGAGTCAGCCCTCCCTCCCACTGCCCTGGACAAGCCACCACGGCTCTGCTCCGCTCCACTCCCCGCCCCGACCCTGTGGCACCCCAGGCCCCACGCACTGCCCAGGCTCGGCAGCAGCCCCAGCCCTGCCCAAATCCCTCCCTCCCTCATTATGGGGGCCTCAATTCCCCCCCTGCCCTTCCCGATTTACCTGCAGGAGCAGCTCTTCAAGCTACCTGGCAGCCATGTGTACATGTGCATGCACATGGTGCTCCCTGCCTCAGCCTCCTCCCACTCTGCCAGCCTGCAAGGGAAACCCACCTTAACCTGTATTTTTCTCCTTTAAAGAAGAAAATCGGGGGGGTTCTCCTTAAAAAGAGAAAATCTGGGTTTTTTTGCCTTAAAATGAGAACATCCAGGTTTTACTGCTTTTTTCCGTCATGAACAGAAAACCCAGGTAAACAATGAAGCTAGTCAAGGGCCAGTTAACTTCAGATCAAAATAGAAAGTTATTTCTTTCAAGACGTAATTTAGGAGGGGTGGGAAATGTCCGACAAAGGGGAAAAGACAAGTCTAGAATTCACTTCCTAAAGCTCCAGGCAAGTTTAAGCTTAAAAAATTACAGGCCAGTTTTGTTTCTGAATGAAAGCAGCTACATAGAGGTTTAAAGCACTTGAAGTATATCAACCTTAATTTTCCCAAGTGTCCTCTGGTAGGCAAGTCCTTTAGTTATGCTGAAGTAAATCTGCAGGAATTCTCGAACAGAAACTTTGACTCAGCCAGGGCTCTGTCCAGTTCATGAGAGCTCTGAGTGCCTTTGCAACAATTTTAATCCTTATTTAACTGTTTGTGAAACACTATGCCAGTGCAGGTGTTTCCCATTTGTTACAGATCCAAGTCAAGATAAGATAACTTTTTTAACCAAACTACTTGGGGAGCCCATCAATCTAAACTAGTTTGATGCAAAATGCTGGAGCTTATTCCTTGAAATTTGATATTTTTACCATTTCTAATTCTTGATATGAACTTTATATCCATTGAGCGAAAAAAGTTCCAGTTGCAAATCCCAAACCTATTCACACTGCAGTAAATCAAGAGTAGTGGCCGCTTCAATTTGACATTTTTGAGAGATCTTGTATATAGTACACCATGTTTCATTCTGCCTTTTACTCATGCTTAAGAAAGCAATTTCCAACATACTACATCAAACCTAATGGCTAGCACAGTGTTTGAACTGGGCGAATGAGGAAGAATGGGATAGAAGCAAGTTTTCGTTCAATTACACCTGAAATCTGTTCCTTTGGCATTAAGTCCTTTACTGCAGCTAAATTATATTTACTGTATTCTCAGAGCAATTTTACTTCTGTGTGTTTGTGATATAACATATTGGATATGTTGGAATCACTGTGATGTGGTTATGTTGCAATTCTACCTATTCGTACAAACTCCATTACAAAATTGCTGTTGACTTCAGAGGGGATTTCCTGTACTAAAGATTTGCAGGGTTTAGGTCAAAACGTGCATTTTGAATCTGACTAATTGCCACTGGATTGATATTGTAATTACAATTTTGCCACAGAGGGAGAAGGATGCAGGAAGCCAGTGCGTGATTTCTATGAATGCTAACAGCACAACCATATGCGATCCTAAGAATCCAGGACACGTGAAAACTTTTACTTTTGACTTGGCTTACTGGTCTCACAGTGGATTTCTGAAGGATGAAGATGGCAGGCTTGTTTCAACAGGATCCGATAACAGATATGCAGGCCAGGTAACGTGAATGCAGGGGGCTATTGAAAAGGATAGCAACGCACAATGCTATGTTCCCTAATAGTAAAAATCTTTCTTTTTAGAGAGAGATCTTTTGTGACCTTGGTCAAGGAGTTCTGGACAGTGCCTGGCAAGGTTATAATGCTACTCTTTTAGCATATGGTCAGACTGGTTCAGGGAAAAGCTATTCTATGATTGGATGTGGTGCAGACAGAGGAATAATTCCAATTGTGTGCGAAGAACTCTTCAAAGCAATTCAGAATCAGGAACAAAACAAGCAATACCAGGTGAGATGTATGCATATATCATCAAGACCCTTCCAAATATGCTTTCATGTTTAAAATGGAAAAGCTGTTTTTCCTTTTTAAATACTATGGGATCTGGAGAAAAATTGCTTCAGAGATGATCATGCAAAATGTCAAGAAAGCAATATTGAAGAGGTGGTAATCTAAAACAGGTAGATGTACAAATATAATAAATTTGCATTCTTCCATATCTGAAAGATGCCCAACTTAATCTGACACAAACAATTACACTTTTATTTTCACTGAGTAAGTGTTTGTGAAATACCAAAATGACTTGGGCACTTTTTGAAAAATGCATCCACTGTCTTCTCAGCATAGATGGCTCCATCATTGAGTAGTTACCTACATTTTTAGCTATTCCATAGTTGGTCTTCTAATCTTAGCTATGCCCCCTTACAATGTGATGCAAGGGAAATTATTTCACTAATGAAATAAAGGAGATATATTTCTTTGGTCCTCTAAACTGTTGTATGCTTTATGCAATCTCTTGTAGGCAGTAGGAATAATGCTTCTAAATCTTGCAGTTTGGTTTTGCAGTTATGAAATGCTTTCACTTCAAAGGGATTTCTATTTCTACCTTCTTCCCTGGTATTTGAGATCATTTCTACAATCAGGCAAGCATAAGAGCTTTGTAGATTGCAGTGTGGCCAGGAACATTAGTTTTTGTTATTGGATGTACAGTAATGTACATAATGGCGAATATGGTAATGGCTTCCTGATAGTGCCTTTGTAGTGCTTAGCTTCAAAACCTTTGTTCTAAATGGTTGCAGAAGATGTTTTGCTGTTACTTCAGCTACTTCTCCCCTTCCTGTCAGTGCATGGCTGGCTTGACCCCTCCCACAAGGTAGTGGCTCTTGAGTGCTGAGAGAGCAATTGTAGCTGCATCCTTCACAAGAATAAAAAAGGAAAATTCTTCCTGCAATTCTGCATCCTGTTAGACACCCACCTGGGATGAGCACTGTTGGGCCCACGAGTAGCAACAATGGTGGAAACTCACTGCCTCTTTTGGACCATGTTAATGTTAAGAAAAGGCAAACCTTTTCCTCCTTATTGAAAAAAAAGCAAAACTAACCAATCGGAGGCAAAAAGGTGCATTAATGGAACATGAAGGCTGGAGCTAGAATCACAAAACGTAGGGTATGCAAAAGTTAAGGTTTCAACAGCAGTGTTTACTCAGTCAAGCTATCCGTACACATCTTTCCATTTCCAGTTTCTGAATGAATGTGTAGCGTGAATATTTTGCTATTAAATGAAATGTCTACTTATCTCTGCATACAGGATGCATAACACGACTATGTTAATATTGCTGAAATATTGACACCCAACGTTCTTACTTTACAATGGGTGAAGTGACATGAAGTCATCTTAAGGCAAATTACAATTAAATTAAGAGGAACAGATGGAGAAGGCAGCCTAGGAAACATTGAGGAAGAGAATGGGGTTGTGAGGGAGAAGTGTGCATCCAGGAGTCACGCAAATCCACTGTTTGACATATTCAACAACATAAGAGATGCTAGTATTTGGTTTGCTTTGGGATAAATGGCCTTTTTGTCCAAATAGCTTGTGTTCCTTTTACACACACACGACTGTATGCCAAACAATTTATTCAAGAGAACATTTTATGTCTTATTTACTTCTTGTCTTTGCAGGTTACTTTCAGCATGCTGGAAATTTATAATGAGCAGGTAAGGATGTTGCCGTATTTCAGTGACATTAAATCATAATGTTTTACATTTATGTTTATTTACTAATTTATTTTCTTTAACCTTTAAGTCATCCAGGTATGCCACCACTTGAGACTGGGAAACTTGTTCCTTTGTACCTGTAAATTTTACTCCTTGACAGTGGCATGTCTAACAGGATAAAGAGGTTTTAATTTTTCATGTTGTGCAATGGCATGCCCTTGTGGTATTTTACAGTATTTTTCAACTTTGCTATATAGTTAGTTGCGGAGAGATGCAGATGTTTGGGTTCTTAAGGATGTGGCAGAGCAAAGGCTGAACACTGGTTGGGGGGAACTCCCTGGAGTTCAGTGAGAACAAGCTGTATTTTTCAGTTGAAAACATTTTTGAACACTGCATAATAGACTGTGTCAATAATAGACTGTCTGATATAAATTATGGAAAGCATTACTGGAGGATAGAGTATGAGTAGGGCATTAGCATATTCACTTGTATGGCAAGAATATAGTTGAGAAGAAATTAAGATGTCTAAGTAAAGGAGAAAAGATCTAAATCATATTTTAGACCAGTGCTTCTCAAAGCGGTGGTCTGCAGACCGGTGCCGGTCCACGAGCCACCAGCCACCGGTCTGCAGTGAGTTGCCAGGAAAGAAAGAAATATATTTTCAGAAGCATAACATTGATGTGTCATAGCACCACAGTTCGTATGTTCTAAGACTCCAGGTGACGTCACATCGTGCGAGGTGAGGAAAGAGAGAGAAACAGCCGGTCGCGCATTTGTGTAGTGCTGTTACACGCAGTTGCTGCCACCGGCTGAACCAGGCACCGGTCCCTGGCCCACTGGAAAAAAAATTGTCGGTCTGCCACATCAGATAGTTTGAGAAGCACTGTTTTAGATAACAGCTGGTTAGACTATTAACAATGCCAAACTTAAGTCTTTCCAATTTCTTGTTCCACGTGAAAACAGCTAGTGTCTCTCAGTACTGTATGTCAATGATATATAAGATTAAGAGTGTAAGAGAGGGTGAAATCAAACACTTATCTTTTATTTACTTAGGAAATTTGACATAACTCTGTATCCATATCTTGTTCATGCATTGCAGCTTTATGTTGTCTGTCTCGTGCTGAACTTTGCAAATAGATTATGTCTAGTGATGCTTTTGGTTTTCAAATTGGATTAAGCTAACCTGAAAAAAGCCGCTCTTCTTCTAGAAGAACATATACGCATGAAGTAATCCAGACTACCCCATTTTAGATTTGCATCGTGCTTTTCCGTGATTAATTTTTATATATAGCAAGTCTTTAGCAAGTGTTTCCAATAACAAATTTTGGTGGTAAATATCTCTTCTTAGGTCATTGATTTACTGTCTAAAACTAAGAAACGTGGTGGACTTAAAGTGAGAGAAGACCACCAACAAGGCTTTTATGTGGATGGTTTGAAACAGGTGCCTTGTGACAGCTATGCACAAATTGAGAGGTTAATGGAGCAAGGAACTAAAATAAGAACCACAGCTTCAACCAGCATGAATGTTACCAGCAGTCGATCTCACGTGGTCATCACCATCCAGTTCAAACAGGTACAGTATGAGAGGGATGGGAGTATTTTCGTTAGTCAGCATATTTAGTTCACCAGTTTAAAAATGTTCATCTGAACAATTTACCATGGGGTTAAAAGTCATGGGGCGTTTCTGTGCGTCAGCTGCTCTATGGTAACTATCTCTACACATGCTTTTACCCTGTGGGATGTGGAAGCTAAACTTTGAGTAATCTACCCATTTTTCATTGAACTAGTAAGCTGTGTGTGCTCCTGCTTAGAACAGCATACATACAGGACTTCCTGTGGTTTTCTGTTCCCAGTAACAGATTAAGTGGACAGGACAGTTCTGTTGTGCTGGAGAATAGAGAGCAGGTTAAGATTCATTAGGGTAGCATTGGTTCAAATCCTTCTCTAAGACTTGGGTGACTTGGCCTGCCTGCCAGTTCCACAGGTGCCTGCTGGCAGAATTTGTACAAGGTAGAGTTCATTGTGATCTAACACTGCAGTGGTCAGTGTGTGCATGGGCAAATCTAGGATTTTGAAGAGGGGGTGCAGATGGTATGGTGCATCATTGCATATAACACAACACACATTTTTCTCTAGGTAAAAATAAACTAGCAGCTTTACTAATATACTAGGGGGCTAGGGCTTTATTATTCAGTTCAGTTCTTCAAGATAAATGAAGAAACAAATATAACTATATTGGAACATGAATTCATTTGCTATATCTCATGTTATGTATTAAAAAATGCAATGAACTAAGCAAAATAAGATGTCCAGAGCTCTGGTCCAGCTCATTGCTGGCAGCAGCTGCACACACGCCTCAGGGACCACAGCAGGGAAGGGGCCAGGGCTGCACTGCCATGACAAGGATTGAGCCTCTCCTGGGTCCCCCATCATCTGCCCTTGGCACGCCAACGTCTTTGAAGTCCACGTTGCAGGGGTTTTTGGCATTTGGCCCAAAAACACTGAAGACCCCTGAGCTACATTGAAAAACACTCTGCAAGGCTGTGAAATAGGAGCTACATTACTAGGAGTAGCTACCAGACAGCAGAATTTTAAAAGAGAAAATAGCTTGATTCGTGGAACATAAGACCATTGAAAAAGTACAGAAGATTGTTAACATCTGTGAAATGAAGAGTTTAGAAGAAATTAGATAGATTATAATGTGCCATGAAGTCAGTTGACTCCCTGCATGGATAGAAATGCTGCTGCCACAGCCAGGCAGTTGATTTTAAACTTTGGGGGGATCAGAAATCAAAATGGGGGTGCAACTGCACCACTGCCCCCTCCCACCCCAGAATTTCCTCTCAGCATTTGAATAAGACTGGGTGAGATACCTCTCCTATATATGCAAAGGTGCTGCCTGTTTGCTTCAATAGCAGGCACACACGTTTTGTGTAGGCTGCCAGATTTCTTTCTCTCTGAAATGAAAAGCGTAAGTAGAGGTTGGGGTGGGGTGAGATTTTAAAGTTTTAGGGTGCCAAATGGGAAATCTGTTATTGTATCTTACCTTGGTGCATTGCTTTTCCTGTTATTGTAATGTGCCTTTTGGGATAAATAGGGTAGAATATACATCTAAATAATAATAATAGTAATAATAAAGACACCTTTTTCCATTACAAGATACAAAGCAGGTTGTAAAAGTGTGAAGGTGAGACTTTTTTTCTCACAGCTCTACAGGTGAACTGGGTTGCTCCTTCCACGGACCTATCTGTGTAGATGGAAGTATAGGAGTGCAGGGCTTTGAATAACAAAGGCATGTCTACACATGCTTTTATGCGCACCTAAACTAATTACTCATTAGCCTAATGTGCATTAAGGTGATTTAGGCGCATGTCTACACATGCGGTGTGCAGACCAACTTGGGACTAAAGTTAGTCCCAAATCAGTCGACATACACAGCGTAAATATGCCTTAGTGCATCTACACGTGTATTTAAGCGCTTTTAAATTTGATACATGCTTTAGCAGGTATCAAGTTTAGGCATGAATAACCTAAAATCACCGTTTTTAAGACACATTAAGGGTGCACTCATGTAGACATACACCCTTAATGCACCTTAAATTGGGCTAAAGCTCCTTAAATTGGCACATGTAGATGCGCCCCTAAGGTCATGCTGCTATCCTAGGCAGTTGATTGCATGTGAAAAACAATGTTATGGAAGTAGAATAAGAAACTACCACTTCTGTATTACCCTGAACGTTATTTATTACCCCACACACTCTCACCTTTCATCACAAAGTCCATGTATAAACTACAGTTTGTATTGGAATTAATTTACCTGCTACTTAAGGCGGGTGCCACATTGACAGATATATGAAGGGGTAAAGGAATGTTCTCCAGGGCCTTTAGACAAGAGTTTACCTTGAAGAGAGGGAAGGGTAGGACCAGCCCTAGCTAAAAAATGCTTCTGTGTTTAGCAACAACCAGTTGAAAAATCTCACTCCTCTTTCAGGCATTCTGCCTGGAGTGAAGGAAGATAAAACTCTGCAGTAGCACTGAGTAGGAGACATCAGTGGGAGGAGGAGCTAGAGAGAAATTCTAAGTTCCCTTGTGGAGGCTGCATTCACAACCAGGAGACTTGTAGGACTATGGGAGGGGTAAAAGAGAAGGCCTTTGCCTCACCTCACCTTGTATTGGGGCCAAGAAAAGGGAAGAACTGCTGGGAGGAAGGCAAAGCAACATGGTGGAGCTGTGTGGGGTGGCCAATGGGTACAGGCCGAGAGTCAGAACAGATTGCTGTACAGAGAAGGGCACAGTGAGAGACAATGCTATGGCAGGACTTCCTGGGAGATGGAGACTTGGACTTGAGTCAACTCTGTCTTTTTTTCCTCCATCCCTCAACCTTTAGGTCAAAATCAGGGTACTGTAGACATCTTTAGGAGGAGCTATGACAGCTCTTCAATATCAGAGTTTAGGACAAGAAATGAAGAGCATTGTATGTGCATCCGAAACTGCAGAAGGATATCAGGTTTCCTATGGTAGAGCTTAGGACAGAAATATTGGATTCTTTTGGGGTGGAAAACCATTACTGCCCTGGAGAAGCTTTCCTCAGAGTAATCTTGCTACATTTCTAGTTACATTTCTAGAGGGAAAAATGAGAATGTAGGGTTTTTTTGGCCTAAAGTAAAGCTGGTGTTAAGCTTTGTATTTTCTCCAGACACAATGGTTTCTCCCCTGCTAAAGCTGGTCATTTAATATGGAGAAGAATAGATCCTTATATGCCAACTTTATTTATCCTCCTAACCCCTTTGCTCTCTGAAATATCTCTTGTGTAATTGGAGGACAAAGGGTCTTTCTCTTTCAGCAAGAGACTTAGTTTCTGTATTTACAGAAATCCTGTGTTTCTTAATGCCACATTTCATAGTGGGTTTCCTCAGACTATTTAATGGAAGTTTTGTTTTGCTATACTCTGCTGTGATTCTAGGGTAATTGCTGTGATGCATTTTCCTTTGCCTATTGCAATCCCTTGCAGATTTTCCTAGATGAAGAGATTACCAAACAATCTGTTATAAATCTGGTGGACTTGGCAGGAAGTGAAAGACAGAAATCTTCAGGATCCGAAGGAGATAGACTGAGAGAAGGGACACATGTAAACCTAAGCCTCACCATGTTAGGCAATGTCATCAGGTATAAACGAGACATTTGTGCACAATGAGAGACTTATAGTTTGTCTATTTAAGAGGCAGGAATGTCAGTCTTGCCTCAGTTCAGATCTTCTACCTACTGGATGTGTCTACATGACATGCTTTACTGCTCAGCACACTAATTCTAATTCACTGTACTGTAAAGCATCACCATCTACATGTGTGCGGCAATTAGGGTGCAATAGACAATTCACTGGGCTGCCAGATAGTCCCGTCAAATACGAGTGGTATCCGGCAGCACAGTAAATTACTGCACTTATATGCATGTGTAGACGATGATGTCAGGATTAGTTTACTTGGGCTCAAATTGAGCCCGAGTATATTCAGTCACATTATTTGCACATGTAGATGCACCCCACTGAGTTTAATATAACAACTTTTTACATTAACAATAGTGTATTCTTTGTAGGGATCTCAAAGCACTCCATAAACTTTAATAATTCAAGCTTCCCAATGCATCTGACAGGTATAAAAGTAAACAGAGACATAGAATATAAGTTGACTTTCCCATGTTCCCAGAGTCTGTGATAGAACTAGGGCTAATTTCATGATCTGGAGTCTAGTTTGTTTGGGGTATTGTTGTTATTGCTGTTATTATTACTATTAGCCAGAATTTGCATAAGCAGCTAGTAATTTTGAGTTACCTCAGTTTTGTGGCAGTGAACTTGAGATATCTTAGTGTAGCTACTCAGCACTTTCTGAAAATCAGATCATTTTAAAGGGTCTCAAACTGAGCCATACAAAATCACTGATCACTTCTGAAAAACTTAGTTATCAGTTTTATTCAGCAGATAATTGTGAGACCCAGAGTTAGTATATTGGAGCATCTGCCCAAGTACAGTTCTTGAAAGTCATATTTGTTTAAACTATTTTTACACTTGACAGAATCAAGCTTACACTTCTTTATTGTTTTCCCCCTTAGTGCTCTGGCTGAGATGGCTGTGGGAAAGAAGGTGTTACATATCCCGTACAGAGACTCAGTTCTAACAAAACTCCTGCAGTCTGCTCTGGGAGGAAACAGCAAGACTATCATGGTAAACTTAGTGCCCTGTTCGCTAACTGGGAAAATGTAATTATTAAAGCAGAAGTGCAAGACACTGAATACTAGCATAAAGTGGTACTGTATTTAAAAGCATAAATCACTTTCCATATAGCATCAGTATTTTCAAATAAAAAAGCAGTTGTAGCCTGTTCATATTTGAAGGCCCAGAGTTGCTTAAGAATTGAAAGCATTTTTCTTGTGTCCCCTTGTTCTGGCTAATGTTCAGCTAAACAGATTCCTCAAAGGCAAGAAACACTGTTCTTTTTTAGAAGATAAATGTGGTTGGCACAATATCTACAGGAGTAGTGATTTTCCTCTTGGGGTAGTGGAGGAAATGCACAGTTCAACAGCTCTTCATGGAGTATCTTATTTTGCTTTTATAAAATTGTCAAATCAGATACTCAAGCTTACTATTCATTCTTCACATACATCAAGCCCTTTTTGATTGGAGCCAGCCCTTGCCTTCACATGGTTGAAACTTTTGAAAGTCAGGCTCTTAGAATGGAATTTAATATTGCTCCTACACTTGCCTGTTGGTTTTGTATGCATCAGGGTTTGCTAGCACATTGGAATTTGCAGGTATACAAGTTGGGGGAAGGTTGTGCATAAAAGTGTATGCTGCATGTTGAGTATCTGGCCTTTGGGAAAGAGGTATCTGAAAAATTATGTCTGTCATTTTCTTCTGAATTAATTGTTGTCTGTGCTCTCAGCTAGGTTGTGCAGGCAGAACTCTCACTAATTTTAAGTCTGTTTTTTTTAATTTGTCATCTGTTTCTACCTTGTATTATTTCTGAAGAATTAAAAAAAAGGGGAGGAGTGCTATTCAATGGAGGGAGGAGAAAGGTCTGTGTGTCTGCATGAAATTGTGGACTTCAAATGTTGATACATTTTACTACCACTGAATTGATTTCCTCCCAACTTCAATTTTTCAGTCCTCATTGGAACAGACCTAAGGCTTGATGCTACAACCCTGTGCATACAAGTCCTGCCATCATAGCATGGGGAGTATTTGCTGGTATAAGGACTACCAGTATAACTAAGAGTTTCTAGGAACTGGCCTCACATTTTTCATTTTAAACAAAACACATGGTACTCTGTACTACGTCTCTTCTCAGCTCTAGTAAAAAATAACAAACAAAAACCTTTTTCCTATTTCATTGAAAAGTGTGATCGCTGTCCTAGATTCTCAGGACATGTCAGCTCCAGCCCTGGACCACACAATCTTTGCATTGTTTGCCATAAAAACAGAATGTAGCTGTCCATAGAGGAGCACTGAGTGCAGGCTGTAAGCCTTCTGCCAGGGATGAGCACATTGACACATCCCCAGCACCTTAGGAGAGGCAGCTATGTGCCATGTTTCACTGTCACACTCCCCAGCAAGGGCCACAGCTGGTGCAGGCATGTCCTAAGGACTCTTTGTATTGGAGGGGCACAGCAGTGGATTATTTCCTGGATTAAATGTTCTTTGATCTGTAATATCCTTTGTGGTTGCCAAATTAATAAAACAACTCAAATACAAAATCTAAACTATATTAACACCTTTTTATATGTTTACAGATTGCAGCCATAAGTCCAGCAGACATGTGTTATGAAGAGACTTTATCAACGTTACGCTATGCTGAGAGGTACAGCTTTGTAGTTTTCCATGCCCAGTAAGAAGGCACTGCAAGGTAGAACCTTAGTGACTAACTGGTTCAGAGAGGTATGAGATTTCCTAGGTGACAGCGTATGTCTGACAAAGTAGGCTGTCACCTATGAAAGTTTGTATCTCTCTCAACCAGTTAGCCTGTAAGGTGCTGCCCTATCCTGCCTTCTGCCTGACTTCAGACTACCCTGGTGAATAACCTCGCATGTCCAGTAAGGCAGTTGTCTGCATTTCTGCAAGATGAAGCCAAACACACAGGCAAAATAAGATGGCACCAATAATAACAGACAAAGGGTTTGGGCAGGCATTAGTTATAGGATAGAGCGGGGTTACAATTTCAATAGTTTGGCTTCATTATAACAGTTACATTGTAAAGCTGTTGTGACCTTTAGAGCAGAGGAGCGACTTGCCCTTTTAAAGCAGTTGACTGTGATGCCTGTCCACGGCCAAAGCTCATTTCAGAATAAAGCCCTGGGGAGTTTCAGCCTTTCCATCCTCTCTAACCCCAGATGGCTCTTTCAAGAGCTTGCAAGACCACTTCATTCACGTCTTTCATTACCATCTAATATGTCGCATGCCATGGTGTCTCAATATATTCACTCTGTACTGTGGCAGATACCTCCTGCTCTTCCTTGGGCTGAGAATTGGGAAAGAG